ATGCCAAGCTAACATCATTAAAGGAGCTTGCGGGCGTGATCAAAATAAAATGTCGATCAAATGAAATAAATGGGTAGTCAACTGATTTAGATAGATTTTTTTGCAGCAAATCCATCACAAAAAATACGACGGAAAATTCCATCGCAAAATTGTCGCAATTTCAGAGAAAAAGAATTTCGTCGTAAAGTTTGCTGCAAATTGATGACTTTCCAATAGTGTTAAAACTATGGACTAGCGAAGTAACCTATCACACGTAATAATACAATTGCTAAAATGTTTGCTTAGTAAAATCCTCTTTGAGAGTAGGATAGATTACCAAAAGGAAAATAACTTCAAATTCTTTAAATGATTTTTCTTTTTTTACATTTTTCATATCCCATATTGTCTTTTCTTACTTTCTAGGATTACTTAAAGATTTATTGCTTTTAAATGTAGAATATTTTGTATATGCACATGCGGTTTGATGCTTCTTTTGAATGCCTTTTTATTTTACCTGCTAGAATGTTTTTAAAAAAAATGTCGTTGCTATTTCTCAAGTCCTGGATGAGAAAAGTGTAAGGTTGTGTTAGATAGTCGACAGCCAGCAGAAAACTTGTCGAATAATCATGTCATGAATCTTTTAAGGAGAAAAAGGATTCATGTAGCCGATAACACGTAGTGGGACAAAGGCTTGATATTGTTGTTGCTAGAATGTTTTTAAAATAAAAAAAAAAAAAATCTACTTTATACTAAACGATGATTCCCTTGCACTAACAATACAACATTCTCACTAGGTGATTCACTTTCATCTGACAATACTACATTTGCCTCCTAACTATTTAACACTAGGTGATTCACTTTCATTTGATATGACCACATTTACCTCCTAACTATTAATCACTAGGTGATTCACTTTCATCTAAAAAGACCACATCCACATTAATAACATCTTCAATGTTCTCCTCAATGTAAAGTCAATCTCCTCTAACCTCAACTCCATTACATTAGCTACAATTGGATCATCCACTTCAACCATCCAACATGAATTCTGCTAATAATATCTCAATCCATTACACCATCACCATGAACAGTATACTCTAAGAGTTTCGCCACTCATCCACCTAAGCATCCTTATATTTGCAACACTAAACTTAATATTATGCTTCTCTTTTAATGGCCAGCATTCTACACCATAAAGCATTGTAGCTCTCACCATGGGCGAATCCCTATTGGATTGAGAGGGGACAAATGCCCACCCTTAATTTTTTTTTTAGGGTATTTTTTGAAATATTTTGAGTATTTTGGGTATTTTGTCCCCTCTCAAAAAAAAAAATTGCCCTAATTTTATCAATCCTATGTGTCTTTGTCCATCCCCCACCAAAAAAAAAAATTTCCCACCCTAAAAAAAGAACCTTAATCCGCCCCTGGCTCTCACTACCATCTTATAGAATTTTTTTCTTAAATTTGAGAGGGACTTTTTTGTCACACAATAAGCCCGATGCATTCCTCCACTTCAATCATCCAAATTGAATTATACTAATAATGTCTTCATCCATTATACCATCAACATGAAAAGTAGACTCTACGATTAAAGCCACTCATCCAATTAAGCATTCTCATCTCTGCAACATGTAACTTAATATTATCCTTCTCTTTTAATGGCCAATAGTATACACCATAAAGCATCGCTGGTTTCACCACCATTTTTTAGAAATTTTCCTTAAGTTTGAGGGGAATTTAACTATCGCCCAATAAGCCCGATGCATTATTCTCCTTTTCAACCATCCAACACAAATCATAATAACCATCTAACAAGCAGTGATTATTGTATATAACATCGTCATCTCTACAACACTTAACTTAATATTATGCTTCTCTTTTATCGGCAAACATTCTACACCATAAAGCATTGCACGTCTCACCTCCATTTTTTAGAATTTTTCCTTAAGTTTGAGGGGAAGTTATTTATCATACAAAAAGCTCGATGTATTCCTCCATTTCAACCATCCAACATGAATTCTACTAATAATATCTCCATCTATTACACCATTACAATGAATAATAGACTCATGAAATTTAAGCAAAAAAGATGGATACCTTCTCAATGAGCAAGCTCCGATCGGCCAAGAGGAGAAACATCGTGGAAGGAGTCAAGTAAGGTCGCAGTCAAAGGTTAGATGACATGGAAGAAGTGTTTAAGAAACGACGAAGAAGAACGACAGTGAACTTCATATGTGATAGGAAGGAATGTCATCATTGGAGGCAACGGGAAATAACATTATTGAAGGAGGCCGAGCAACAGACAGTAATAGGGGACACGATGGTTGCGAAGACAAAGAATGGCAAGGAAGTGTGACTTCGGATGCAAGAGGAAGGAACGTCGTTGAGCGAGATGATGCTAAGCTAACATCATTAAAGGAGCTCGCGAGCGCGATCAAAATATAATGTCGAGCAAATGAAAGAAATGGGTAGTCATCCGATTTAGATAAGGTTTTTTGCGTCCGATTTGTGATGGATTTACAGTGGATTTATGGTGGAAAATCTGCCACACATTTGAGGCAATTTTTCTGCCCCAAATGCATCACAAAAAATACAACGAAAAATTCCATCGCAAAACTGTCGCAATTTCAGAGAAAAAGAATTCCATCGTAAAGTCTGTCACGAATTGATGACTTTCCTATAGTCTTAAAACTATGGACTAGCGAAGTAACCTATCACATATAATAATAAAATTGCTAAAATGTTTGATTGGCAAGATGTTGTTCGAGAGTAAGATAGATTACCAAGAGGAAAATAACTTCAAATTCTTTAATTTTTTTTTTAATCCCATATTGTCTTTTCTTACTTTCTAGGATTACTTAAAGATTCATTGCTTTTAAATGTAGAGTATTTTGTGTATGCACATGTGATTTGATGCTTCTTTTTGAATGCATTTTTATGTTACTTGCTTGGATATTTTTAAAAGAAAAAAAAATATGCAAAACCATTTTTGAAATTTCTTGGCTTTCAAGTTATTTTTCTATCTTAAATATATAAAATTAAAATAGTCCTTTTTTTAACTATAAAATTAAAGGTATTATAGCATCTGGTCACTACACCTCTAAATCTTATAGTTTGAACTTATTAATAAAGCCTAACTAAAACATATGCATAATGCATGACCTTCAAACTATGAACATATAATTCTACATAACATTGTAATTTTTGCACTACAAGTTAAACCCTTATATGAGCTGAGATAAGAAGTTTTTTTTTTCATATTTTTTTGAAATCTGTCATAGCCTATTTTGTATTGCTCAATCTCCTCCACAGCACATGTTGTGATGGAGATCCGCATTCACATTAGTACCAATCAAATCAAAATCAATCACCTATGCCCCATGGCAATTATCAACAAAGTATCCCACAGTCCCATAAATGGCATGTCTATCATTCACATCCACATCCTTTTCACAAATATCTTTCCTTCCCTTCTTTTCTTTTTGATATGTTCCTAATTCGAAGTGTTCAGCACAACGTGAAGAGGCCTCATTCAAGCCGAAAAATTATTCTGTGCGGAGTAGTCCAGACTCCAATGAAAATGCACCACGTCCGATACCGAGCTTAGTATTGAAGCTCGGTACCGGACGGTTCTCCTGTCCGGTGTCCGCACAGAACAATCTATCGCAACACGAAGAGGCCTCATTCAATGCAGATGGCTCCTCACATGCAACCCATGTGAAAAACTCAAAAACTACTGCTCACTTCTCCAAAATCTAAAATAATACATATAACGCATCCCCACCACAAATGCTAATAGATTTGTTTCTCTTCTTTCTTTCCCTACTAGCTGACAATCACGCCTTTAAATTATCTCATGGGTCACATCGGAGTCCCCACTTCCAACAAAGTATAAGGATGAAATAACAATAAACAACAGCAACAGTTAGAGCAATGAGGTTTTCAACTGTCGATAATAGAAAACTAGCACGTGGTTGGTCCCCTCTCGCCCATCCATTGCTCCAAAACCAATGCTACTTCTCCTTACAAACCGCTGAAGGCGCCATTTTGGCACCAGAGCCCTATATGGGGTTCTGGTTGGGTACCCACGCTCTGTACTGGCGGGCTTTGCCCACCCACACCTACCTATGGTTACTTTACGGATGCATACCCACCCACATCCATTCACTTTCCATGCTTATTGAATGCAGTCTGTCATAGATTAATGGCCTTGAGGTTTTTTACCATTTTTTCTGACTGCAAACTTTCAAGCCACATATCAAAATTTATCATGGTCGTGACACGGTTCAGTGTTGCGCACTGCGAAGATTATTGTAATATACTGCATGTATATGATAGTTAGTAATATAAAATCAATTATCCTATGATGTTGAGTACCCACCCATATCCACCCACGAGGTCATACGCATGGGTGGGTACGTGGATGGGTGTGGGTATGTGTACCCAATGCCGGGCTCCATTTGGCACTTTATTTTGTAGCTTTTATTTGAAAAATAAATCAAATCGAACTATTTTTCTTATTTAAATAAAAGTTATATCTCAAAATAAATAACATAATTTTAAAATATTTAAATAAAAAAAGTATTCAGATTATTCTGATCATTTTTTTTTTTTTGTTCGAATTTTATCTGTTACGGATAGAATACCAAAGTAGATCTAAATGTTAGACATATTTATACACACTTTTACATATTTAATACACATTTATTTATATACCTATTATACTATACCACTGAATAATGCGTCTGACATACGCACAGAAGATCTCAAGAAGATGGGAGAAACGTGCATTTACCAAAGGAAAACTGCTCTTCCAGAAGCTCCTGCTATTGATCCAATTCTTCTATTAATCTTCACTTATTACTTGTATCTTTCTTCATAAAATAACAATAATATTTTACAAATATTTTTTATTAATTTAAATTTTACAAAATCTGAAGTTTAAAGTTGTATATTATTATAAAATTAATATAGTAAAATTAAATAATATATTAACTTAAAATTTTTATTGACCTAAGATATATTATTTGTTAAAAAACAAATTGTCACATTGAGAACGTAGTGCCGATTTTCAGTATAATACAAAGAGAAATTATAAGCTCGAAATGCGGAAGCAGCTTTCTAATAATTTCTCTAATACATGAGTGGTAAAAACGAGCGCGCCGGCCCGGCGACAGTACTGTGGCATCAAGGCGCAAAGCGATCGGGATCCGGCGAAGAGAATCCGCCGGAAGCTGAGAGAATCGCGGTGAGAGAAGCCATAGCACGGACTTGCATCTGGAGCGCCGCTATGTAGTCGGAAGCCTCTTCTAGAAGAGTCGGGAAAGAGAGCTTCCGGCAACCTGGAACAAGTCTCCCGAGGACTCCAGCCTTGCACTTGAGAACCTGCGACCTCCTCCTCTTCTTCGGCTGGGCGGGGAAGTAGACCGCTTTGCGTGGCCGGCTGTGCTTGATCTTGAGATTCCGACTAAAGAGGATGGCGCGACTCCACCGGGTCCGGCCCCGACCCGCGACTGCAAGAATCCGATCCGCTGCCTCCCGAACGACCCGGCTTCGGCGGAGGTCTTCGGCCTTCGGCGAAGAGCGGCGGATGCGGCGAAGGGTCTCGATAAGCTTAGATGAGTAAATATTCTGCTCTCTGTCTGTATGCCACTTTTTCGGTGATGGCCGCAAAGCTGTTTTACTCATCTTCCGGTTTCTTTCCACATCGTTGGACGACGAACTGCCATCAGAAATAATAATCGGCATCACGTAACTCGATCGAAGAGAAAGACAAATCGAGCGCCGATCGAGCTTTTGGTAATGTACTCGCCTTCAACAACAAAATGAAAAATCGTCGGATCAAAATTAAAATCACAGAAAGGAGCTAGAGCTGATAAAATATGATAGATTTGGAACGATTTCTTATCTACGCGGACTCTAAAAACATAATGAGAAGGGGAAGGTACCAATATCGGAACTAATTGAGAGATTCGAGAGCAGAGAAGGGATGAAAGCGAACTGTGGACGTGAGAGAGGTAGCAGAGTGAAACCGTGGTCCAGCGAGGAAAATTCTAAAGGGGCTAAATTTTTTTGTTGGGGCTATTGCGCATGCTACGCGGAATTTATGGAAGTTTTAATTTTAATATAATCAAATAAATTGTGAGAATTTCAAAAAGTAAAATTTGATTTACTTGACGCATATTACATACTATTTATTAAATATTGTCATTATATATTTATTTTAAAAGTATTCCTAAAATATATATTTTTAATAGAATTATTGTAGATCCAGCTTTTTTTTCTAAGGTGGGCAAAATTTTAATTAATTAGACATCAACATAATAATAACAAAGATAAATAAAATAAAATAAAATAATTAAATAATAATAATAATAAAATAACATCAAATAGTAATAATGAAAAAAAAAATTAAAAAAAATTAATCAACATAATTCTATCAGAGGAAATTTTTATCATTTATCTTCCAATTACATATTGAGAATATCAAATGCAATTGGGAAGAAGACGGCTATGAGGCGGCGATGTCTTGATTCAACAAATGTGTGAATCGCAAAAATGACTGAAACTTGTGGGATGGGCAACAACACTAAGATGATAATATTAGGACGAAAATATTCTTTTGATGGAGGGTGCAATATATCAAAAATGTACATTATTTATTTTTTAAGGGTGGGCATTTACCCACCTTGACATCAAGGGGGATCCTCTCATGATTGCAACAAGTAATAACCTTTATTTAAATTTTAATAATTACAACCCAAGTGGTGAAAATTTATAGGAAATACTGAATAATTTAAAAATTTTCTTAGAATATTCTATGATATTAAATTATTGTTATTTGACTTAGGGGAGATAAATTAAGCATTGATAATTGATTTTGTTAATTTGATATTTTCTTTTATTAAAAAGAGAGTATTATAATAATAATAAATTCATTACATCCTATGATGTTTAACCTATTCGAGATTGTATGTTAGAGAGCTGCTCGATAACATTAACCTATATGGAAGAGGTCGGATCAAATCACCTTAAGATTGATCATCCATTGAATAAGACATAATAGAAGATTATGTATTTCTTGAATCAAGAATTTTATGATTTAATTTATATCATCTTAGGATATTTAACCTATTTGAAATTGTATGTCTTATCAATGCCCAATGACGTTAATCTGCTTGGAAGATATCAGATCGAATTCTCCTGGGATTGATTATCCTTGATTAAAAGGGGGTGAATACCACGCATATCTCGAATCAAAGGTAAAGAATAATCTATCTTTAAACCGTTACTATCTTTTTTAGGTCGAGATTAAGACTTGCCCAATGAGTAAAAGTCCAACTAAGGGCTATATAAAGCTTGAAATTTATTCAAAGCATCATTGCATTTGCTAGAAGCTTTATAATCCCAAGATATTATCTTGGATGTTAAAAGAGTTGGAGGAATCTTCTTGATCATGGCTGTTGTCAAAGCTGCCCCCAATCCATATTTAATTCCAATAAAATTGATGCAACAATAATTGATGTCATGTTGTTGAGATGAATGACCTTTAGACGTTGGAGCAAAAATTACCCCTAGTTAGGAACCACATTCTCACAAATTGTGCCAAACTATTGTATCATGGAGTATTCGCGGTGGTAGATAAATATAATGTTTAATGTCTTAGCTTTGTACGAATATCCAACACGCATCAGTTAAAAGATAGGGTGTAACGTTCATAAGAGACACCAAAGTTTTTACATGAAAATCCACTGAAAAGAGGGGAAAACACGAGGACTGGTTCAGTTTGAATGAATTCACTAGTGTTTGCAATCAATTACAAATGAGACTCTTCCTTGGGTCAAGGCCTTAGTTGGATATAGCAAATATATATTATATAGAGTGCATTACATTGTGAAAATTGATAGAATCATAATTGATATGTTCGTTTGGTCGGTATGACCAAAGTCGGCTGGCGACGAAGGTCAGAAAGATAGTATTTGGGTGACGGTGGTCTGAAGGGCCAAAATCGACGGACGACAGAGGTCAAAAAGACAGTTGTCATGCGAAGGATATCAGAAGGATTGTAGTCGGTGGGTGAAGAAGATCGTAAAGATTGTTGTGTAGAGACGAATGTCCGAAGAACCATAGTTGGCGAGCGATAAAGCTCGTAAAGACCGTTTTCTAGCTACGGAAGTTGGAAACTGTAATCGATGGGCAATAGAGTTCATAAATATAATAGCCTATATTTTGACTTTGCCAATTATTTTTTCTAAAGTCATTAAAACTTCAAATTACAATCCGTCTTTGTCATGGTATTTTGATTGTAGTATTTTATTTACACGAATTTTATCGTAATTTTTGGGCACCAGCAAAAATTATTAAGGAATTTGTATCAATCATTAAAAATGAGGATTTTGGGAGCATCAGGTGTCCGATTTGCAAACCGATTTCACTGATATCTTTTAAATAAAATGATTTATTTTATGATTATTTTTCCATAATTTTTAAAATCTTAAAATAATTTATTTGAATTATATACTAAAAAATTAATTAAATTAAATCATTATATTAATATTATATGATTTTTTTATTATAAATATATAATAACACTTAATAAATGTATTAAATCCTTTTCTCTTCTTAAGTTCGTTCAAGAGAGATGTTTTAGAGAGAGAGAAAGGAAAAAAGCCTAGATTTAGAGGCCGCGGTGCTATTTTCATTCCTTGACGCAGTTGGGAAATTTGCTCGTCTCATTTTAAGAAACCTTTAGCCTATTTTTATTTCAAGATTTTATATTTTTGATATTTTACTGATCAAATTTGTGTTTTCATTATCGAAAAATATGAATAACTTTGTATTAACAAAACTTTCCCCGCGTAACTTTTTGTATGTTATAGAGATCATGATTATGAGCATTTTAAGTATTTATTTAAGATTTTTTACTGAATGATTTTTAAAATACAACTATTTTTATCTATCCAAAAATTTATTTTAACCTCTAAAAATAGTGGTGTATTACAATAAAAGTCTTATAATGTCATTTTATACAATTCATAATATTTTGATAATTTTTTAAAAATATACATTTTTGCCTAATAGGATTCTTTATTGTCTACTGTTATGATATTTTGACATTTTTTTAATAAAGCTCAATTATGCATTATTTACTGTAATGCATTGAAATGGATGTGAATATGTGCTTGTGTAATAGCTGGTCACTATTACTATTATAGTATTGTGATAATAATATGCGTGTGTGAAACAAATAAGTAAAGGTTGGTTAACCCGTTGTTTGGAGATTGATTGATACTACCAATTCATTGTACTGATATTAAGCATGTGATATACTAATCAAGTGATATAGAATATGTGGATAGCATGTGTACAATATGATATGATTTTACTATATTGATTCGATTTCAACAGTCATTATCGACATTTTGATTTGATACTTTATATAATTTATGTGTTGATTGATATTACAGATATGACAATTGCTTTATATATTTGATACTCATATTGGTTTACTGGTTTATTAGCTTTCATACCGTAGTATTTTAATTGTTTACATATTCTACTACTACTACTACTACTACTACTGCATTTGAGTTTTACTATTCTTGCACTAATTCAATAATCATATAAATATAACTACTATGATTTGATTGTTGACGTGCATATTGCTCCTTTAATGTGCTTTGAGTTCAGTTGTAGATTTTGGTGACATGCTGAGCTTTTCTAGCTCATTATATGTAGTTAAATGATTTCAGGTCATTGCAGGGGAGTAGGAGTGTGAGGCTGGTCAGGATTCTTCAAGTTATATTTCTTTTTGTTATAGTCCTAAGTAATGTATATGATTTTTGGGAATGAATATAGATATGTATATTGATGTTTTAAATTATAAAATTTGTTTTGATGTTTATTACTCGTAGATGATATTAGATAGCTCTGATTGTTATTTATTAAAAGATTAAAAGAATAATTCTTCCAATTTAGATTCTGGGGCAGCACAGTAAATATCATTATCTCGCGATGAAGGTTAGAAGGACTGTAGTAGGAGGGCGACAGAGGTCGGAAGGACTGTTATCGGAGAAGGATGTAGGAATGACCATAATTAGCATGTGATGGAGGTTGGAAAGACCTTTATTGGTAGCAAGTCCAACAAAAGCGGGAAGCTAGGTGGACGTCCGATGTTAGTTGGTGGTTGGGCAGAAGTCCGACATTCTTTGGTGCCCGAGTGGAAGGTCAACAGTGGGCAGTAGTACGGCGTCAGGTAGAAATCTAATGTTCGTATGCAGCTGGGTGGAGGTCCAGCCATGAGCGGAAGTTCGGTGTCAGGTAGAAATTTGTCATAAGTTTGATGACTGGTTGTGGTTCGACAGAAGTCTGGGCGGTGGTTGAGGATGTGGTAGCAAGAGATAACTCTCTTCCTTCTCTTCCTTGCTTGGGCCTCTTCTTCCTCCATCCTCTCAATGAAGAATGAGAGGTCTATTTATAATTTTCTAAAAGTGGCATGACCAGTAAATAGGAGGAGATCAAGGATATTTTCGGAGTGTTTTAAATGGACTGCCAATATTGATCACTCCTTTGATCAGAAAATGTTTATCTAGTATTTAAGTGTCTTAGTGATGTCAGAATTCAACGATCTTAGGCTCATTGAATTCATCTCGTCAAGCCACTTGATTCAACTATAAACATGTCACGTTTGAAAATTGTTTGGTCATCCAATTTATAATTTGAACCTTCCAAAGGTGCTTCAGGTCTTCGATTTGGACTCAATCAGGCTCGGATTGAGTTAAATTTGTTGTCATTGCGTACGTCTTTTCGAGACGTACAGTTCCACTGTAAGTTTGATGAAATCGGAGTTCATATTATTTTGAATTTAATTTAGAAAATTTCCAACTTGATTTTGCCTCAAGATTCATGCCTGATCAAGATAATTTTTTGATGATATGTCAATTTCAAAAGTTATTTTTCCAAGTTTAATTAGACTTAATCTAAATAATAGAATCAAGATAAGCAGATTATTGTTAAGAACTATTTCTTATATAAGGTAATAGCTCTTGTCAATTATCATTGTTATTTTAGGCTTTAAAAATCTAAAAATAGTAGTATGTATCGATTGTTTAAATTGTTCTTGTCATTTATGAAATATATCAATGAATAAACGAAAGTTGAATCTCTATTGCTCCCTATTTTCTCTCTCTACCTTGCCAAATCTTAGGCCATGCAGGCAAATTTTGGTCAAATCAAATCCTCTTTCTCCAAAAGTTCATTCTCCCCTCAACTCGAGGAGAGAATATTTCTTTTTTTGTGACGAGGAAGCAATATCTTTAGGCCGGTAAAAACGCCAGTCGATCTAGCATGCAACCCACACCAATTTACACGAGTCAACACTTAAGGCTTTCACTGGAGAGAATATTTCGTGCGGCGTCTAAATTGTCCAAAAGCGAATCTGGACACTCCACATCAACCAGATGCACCGGGCCCTGCGTGACGTGACGCGTTCGGATTTGCCTCTGGACGAATCATATTTCATGCTTCATATGTGCTTGTGTAATAGTTGGTCGATATTATTGTTATAATAGTGTGATAATAATATGCATGTGTGAAATAAATAAGTAAAGATTGGTTGACCCGTTGGTTATAGACTGATTGACCTATATAGGATGGTGAGCCGACGGACTTTTCTTTAAATAATGTGGTTTGGTGTTATCCTCCACTAATTCACGTGATACACTGATTGTGAGTTATAAGGAGATTATTATTGTGCTGACGGGTAAAGAACGACGACTCTATTTATTGAGTCAATTGTTTACTAATATTGAAAAATATCGTGATAGTCAGGACTTTTTACTTGTTTAGTGTGACTGCTGAAATGTATGTTCTTAAGGCATTATTTATATTATTGCATGAATTTATTAGTATTGCATGAATTTACTATTATTGCATTATTCTACTGCTTTTATCATTGGATTGCTACTGTTACTGATATAGATATTAATATTATTTGATACTACTGATTCATTGTACTTATATTAAGCATGTGATATACTAAGCAAGTGATATAGAATGTCTGGATAGCATGTGTACAATATGATATGATTTTATTGCCTTGATTCAATTTCAATCGTCATTATCAACATTTTGATTTGATATTTTATATAATTTATGTGTTGATTAGTATTACAGATATGACGATTGTTTTATATATTTAATACTCATACTGATTTATTGCTTTATTAGATTTTGTATTGTAATATTTTATTATTTAATATTCTACTACTACTGTATTTGAGTTTTATTATTCTTGCACTGATTCAATGATCATATAAATGTAACTACTATGATTTTTATTATTGGCGTGCATATTACTCCTTTAACTTGCTTTGAATTCAATTGTAGATTTTGGTAACTTGCTGAGCTTTTTAAGCTCATTATATGTGGTTAAATGATTTCAGGTCATGGTAGGGGAGTAGGAGTGTGAGGCTGGTCAGGATTCTTCAAGTTATATTTCTTTTTATTATAGTCCTAAGTAGTGTATATGATTTTTGAGAATGAATATATATATGTATATTGATGTTTTAAATTATAAAATTTATTTTGATGTTTATTACTAGTAGATGATATTAGATAGCTCTTGTTATTATTTATTAAAAGAATAATTCTTCCAATTTAGATTATGGGGCATCACAGTAAAACTCATTGTCTCGCGATGAAGGTTAGAAGGACTGTAGTAGGACGGCGACGGAGGTCGGAATGACTGTTATCAGAGTAGGAGGTCAGAATGACCATAATTAGCATGTGACGAAGGTTGGAAAGACCTTTATTGGTAGCAAGTCCAACAATAGCGGGAATCCAGGTGGAAGTCCGATGTTAGTTGGTGGTTGGGCAGAAGTCTGACATTCTTTGGTGCCCGGATAGAAGTTCAGCGGCGGGCGGTAGTACGGCGTCAGGTAGAAATCTAATATTCGTATGCATGGGTGGAGGTCCATCCATGAGCGGAAGTTCAGTGTTAGGTAGAAATCCGACAGAAGTCTGATGACTAGTTATGGTCGAGCAGAAGTCCGGGCGGTGGTCGAGGAGGTGGTAGCAAGAGAGATCTCAGATTTCTCTTCTTTCTCTTCCTTGCTTGGGCCTCTTCTTCCTCCCTCCTCTCAATGAAGAATAAGATGTCTATTTATAATTTTCTAAAAGTGGCATGGCCAATAAATAGGAGGAGATCAAGGATATTTTCGGAGTGTTTTAAATGGACTGCTAATATTGATCACTCACTCCTTTGATCAGAAATCGTTTATCTAGTATTTAAGTGTCTTAGTGATGTCAGAATTCAATGATTATAGGCTCGTTGAATTCGTCTATAAAAATGTCACGTTTGAAAATTGTCTTAGTGATGTCAGAATTCAACGATCTTAAGCCGCTTGATTCGATTATAAACATGTCACATTTGAAAATTGTTTGGTCATCGAATTTATAATTTGAACCTTCCAAAGGTGCTTCAGGTATTCGATTTAGACCCAATCAGGCTCGGATTGAGTCAAATTTGTTGTCATTGGGTACGTCTTTTCGAGACGTTCAGTTCCACTATAAGTTTGATGAAATCGGAGTTCATATTACTTTGAATTTAATTTCGAAAGTTTCTAACTTGATTTTGCCTCAAGATTCATTCCTGATCAAGATAATTTTTTGATGATATATCAATTTCAAAAGTTAATTTTCCAAGTTTAATTAGACTTAATCTAAATAATAGAATCATGATAAGCAGATTATTGTTAAGAACTATTTCTTATATAAGGTAATAGCTCTTGTCAATTATCATGGTTAATTTAGGCTTTAAAAATCTAAAAATAGTAGTATGTATCAATTGTTTAAATTGTCCTTGTCATTTATGAAATATATCAATGAATAAACGAAAGTTGAATCTCTGTTGCTCCCTATTTTCTCTCTCTACCCTGCCAAATCTTAGGCCATGCAAGCAAATTTTGGTCAAGTCAAATCCTCTTTCTCCAAAAGTTCATTCTCCCCTCAACTCAAGGAGAGAATATTTCTTTTTTTGTGACGAGGAAGCAATATCTTTAGGCCGGTGAAAATCTCGGTCGACCTAGCATGCAACCCACACCAATTTACACGAGTCAACACTTAAGGCTTTCACTAGAGAGAATATTTCGTGCGGCGTCTGAATCATCCAGAGGTGAATCCGGACACGCCACGTCAACCAGATGCACCGGGCTCTGCGTGACGTGACGCGTTCGGATTCGTCTCTGGACAAATCATATTTCGTGCTTCTCCATTCATCCTGAATGCACCGAACTCCCTTCTCTTTTGAAGCTCTCGAGCTGAAAAATTATTACGTGCGGCGTTTCGGATTCGTCCGAATCCGAATGTAATAATTTTTTCCCAGCTCGAGAGCTTCAAAAGAGAAGGGAGTTTGGTGCATTCAGGAAGAATGGAGAAGCACGAATTATATATCATCAAGATAAGGACGAAAATAAATTGAAGAACAGTTAAACAAAAAGCATAAATGATAATGATCCAAACTAAGAACAAAAGAGGAGCAAGTAAACTCATGAGAGAGGTGCCTTGTTCAATTCGTTCATAAATATAATAACATCTAATTTTGCTTTATCATTCAATCAACTCATCTAATAAGGTTTCAAAAAGCTTAAGATCTTTATTCTTGTCCTTTTAGCAAAATTTACATACAATGCCTAAAATGATTTTGATTTACTATATATATATACATATATATCCTAATAAAAAATAATTAAGATAATTTTAAATTTTATTGATATGCTTTAATATAAGGTTAATATATAAATAATATTTATCTTAAAATAAATCAATTGATGTACTTAAAATTTTGATCAACACATTCTGTCACAATTTTCTTCCAAGTTACTTTTCCATGCTTCATTTCGAAATAAAATTTCATCAATTCAAATTATTTTTAAATTAAAACTTAAAAAAAAAAAAAAGAATCAATTCCAGCTTTTCAAAATAAATTAGATGGCTGAGATTTTTAAACTTTACTCTCCATTTCATAGGATCCGAATCCGTCACACCACAGTCCGCACATGGTAGATCCATTCAGCTCCCCCGAACAGCCTATCCGTCACTCTAAGGCCCAAACCTCTGAGGAATCCCTAATCTTTTGCAAACTACAATCAAACCAGAAAATTACAAAATCAACATATAGAAACCAGACGAGAAAAGAAATAATTGAAAAAATAAGTTTCATCGATCAGATCTGCCGATAACATATAAAATTGCAAGAAAAAGCTTCTTAGGTCATAAATTGCAGCCGCAGAAGGCGAGGTAGAAGCAGATGACAGAAGCGAGGGCGACGGTCTCGACGGCCATCACTACGGGCCAGATGACGCTTTCGATAACAGAGAAGTCGATCTCCGGCCACCGAAAAGCCGTGGATGCCCAGCTTATTCTCATTTCCGGTGTCCACCGCAGTGCTGCTGACGCCGACGCCGACACACCGCGTGTTACGCTCGCCGCTACCGATTCCAGCTGCTGCAGGATCGACCACGGCTGCGATCCCCTTCCCATCTCTCCCCTTTCTCCTTCAAGTCGGTCTTTCCTTGCTTTGGGAGTTTATGAGCGTGAGAGGTTTTCTCATTTGCGGTCAATAGAACAAGTAGGGAAAAGGCCAAAAGACGGGAAGACCCTGGCAGCGTGGAGATATTATGATGGGGTTCAATAAGCTTTTCCTTGTTACACTCTTGATTGCGTGTTAAGAAAAGAAATTTAATTAGGGGAAATTTTATAAGTAGCAGCATTATTATCAAAATTAATAAAAAGAGTATTAATTAAATAAAATTTAAATAAAAGCAAATACGCCATTCAATTTGACGTATTTCTCACATAAGAGAGAGAGAGGGGATACAGCCATTTAAAAGAGTGTATTACTCTCATAAAACTTAAAAGAGAGAGAAGGGGAGAGAGACAGAGAGGGGAGATGACAGTGGAGAGAGAGAGAGGGAGATTGAATTTAATAATTTAAAATTTTATATGATAACCTTTAATAATTTAAATCTTTATAAGAAACTATTATAATTTAAATTTTTATAATATAATTTAAAACATATATTTAATAATTTAAACTAAATTTATATAAAACTTTATACGTTTTAATTAAAAATAATAATTTATAAAAAAATTATTTAAAAACTTTATATTAGTAGAAACTAATATTAATTATTAGGAAATTATATTTATTTTGAAAATTATTAATATTATATTATATATATTTAATAATATAAATATATATATTATATTATATATATATATATTTATAATTATATTTCATTATATTTTTAATCTATTTTTTATGAAAAATTTATTGAATAAATTTTAAATTTTTTTTGTAATAAATTAATTGCTAATATTAAAATTCATTAGGAATATATCTTTATTAAATTCTAATATTAAAATGATATTTTATTATTTTTTAATCTATTTTTAATCTCCCAATCAACCTAACTACAACCTCCTAAGTTATAACACCAACACACTGCCAACACATCTCCGAGACAACCTCAGCTGTTACAACCGGTCACCAACACCTCCAAATAAAACACTTCACTGCAAACTCCGTCCACAGGGATACACCACGCTCAGCTATAAACAAAGCATGCTTACCAGACTCAGAGCGGACAATTCCAAACCAAAAAGATATTCGACTTGTTTACATAATAACCTAAAACCAACTAATACAGCAAGCGGTAAGTCCGAAACACTGGCGCCTGCTATTGTCACAAGAAATTTCAGGCTTACAATTCTAAGGTAAAGCGTGGGAATGGTTCTCCTGAACCGTCTCAAAATGTAATCGGATCCAATTGACTTTTCGCGTCAAATAACAACTCCGACGAACAATCTCCGGTACAAAGCTGTCTAGTTTAGCAAAAGGGTACAACAGAATACGGTAGTCGACCTACAACTGAACGTTCAGATCGGTGGCAAAATGCCCCATATGGTCCTCATCATCCTAGCTCTTCTTTCACAATTGGATCATCACCAGCTCGACGTATAAATGCTTTCCCTCCAACGGGGCTCTATCCTGGACCGTCTACATGGCATCAACCACTGGGATTCCAAGAATTCTCTCCCATCCCAATCACGTTGTCGCCATAAAGGAAAGCCCTGTAAAGCTGAAACAATGCCTCGAGAGTGGTATGCAACACTATCAAATCATCTACTAATGGTACAAGTTTCACATGCGCTCAGACCAATCTCTACTCACTTACAAATATGGGAACATTGCCTCTACATCACTAACTAAGTCGACGACATACTTCTCACAGGTAACATCTCAAACAATAAATTTCT